CCTCTTATATTTATTATTATAACTTTTGTCTCTTTGAGAAACACTAAACAAGTCTCGATATCTCTGTTGACAAGAGAAAATTTGTTAAAATCTTTAGTATTATACTTTGAACGCTGCTCTAATAAAAAAAACTTCTGTACTGGAATATTAATGTAACTATACGAATGCTAGAAATTCAAAGATACTCACAAGAATATGTTAATAAAAAATTGCCATAGCCTTTTCTAACTATGGTAGGTTTTTAAATTTTCAGCAGGAGTTAGATGCCGAACATCATAATATGAGATTTATTTACGATGTCTCACATACGAACAGAGAGAGCAATATTGAAATTAAAAACGTAACTGATTGTTTTGATTGTTTGCTGTTTTTTACATGAAAAGTAAGTAGTTTGAAAGAATATACTGTTTAAAGTGTCAACGTTTAAGTTAAACCTCATGATGCCAAGCTGATCAACAGTATACATGGAAAAAAATAGAGTTTATGAGTTTCCATTGAGGCTTAAATCATTTTCCCGTTTTTGAAACCTCTGTGAAACCTTTTTCAAATTATAAACGAAAAAGTCGCTTATTACCTTCTTCCTACCTGGAAAAAAATCGGGATTATAGCCCGTTGAAAACTCATAAAGCTTTTTTCGTCTAGTACTCTCTCAAAAATGTTTTTTTTTCATTCATTATTCGGAGGATTTTTTCCCAATGTATTTGTAATTCATATAAGATACATTTCACATTGGCCCTTCTTAGAGAATACATTGTTCTTATTAATAACTGCTAAATCTCTTTATTAACCAAAATCAGTTTCAGAAGATTTACCGCACAGCTTAGCCGAACAAAGGACGAACTTACGTGAAGTATCAGCTAATAAGGAACAGGGTCGTAGCAAGGAGAGTGCCCAGGGTTCTCTGGCACCCCATGAAGAAAAAGAGCTTGGAGAGGAAGATACGGCTGGAAAACTACTTACATGGCCAAAGATTGTTTCTGCTGGTGGGCAATCCCATTAGCACGTTTCTAGCTACACCCATGATGATGAATGAGACTAATAGAAAAGAGTATGAGCGTGAGTTTTGTCTTGGCCGACATTCACATCCACACCCACGTTCTGTTGAAGTCTTTATGATGGACTAGAACCAAATGTATGATTGTCTGCTAGAGCTGATATTAAACTATTACAAGAAACATTCGATAAATCGCACCATTTATTCCGAGAGAGAAACAGCGGACTTCAAGACTTCAATAATAGAAACTTCAAAGCTTTAAAAGACTCCAAGAAACTTCCAAAGACTTTAGAAGACTTCAAAAAACTTCAAGAGATTTCATGTGACTTTAAGGCCCCCCCTCTCTTAGAAAATCCAATTTTTCAAAGAAATATCGAAGTTGAGTTTTCATCATAGGAAGATGCAGCGAAGCTTCCTCTTTCAGAATATATATCGCTTTTTGGAAAATGATCAGATTTTCAAAGACTTATCACATGAAACTTGGAGCCTATCACCATATTTCCCGAGAAATTTTCGTGATTTTTAAAGGTGTTCAATTTTGGAAAAAGTGCATTGCCATTTGCATTAGCATTGAGTAGAACATTTTTATATTACCCAGCATGACAGATGGCGTTAGCTACCTTCATCTCTACGTGCTTTAAAACGGTCCACTCGAATGAATCAATAATATATCATTGTAATATGATTTTTGGGTGTGGGTGTGGGTGTGAGTGTGGGTGTGGGTGTGGGTGGGTGGGTGGAGTGTGGGTGTGATGTGTAGGTGGGTGTGGGTATCAATGAAACCAAAACACACAGCACACATCCACACCCACATACAGACCCATCCACACCCGCATCCACACCCACACCCACACCCACGCCCACACCCCACACCCACCCACACCCACACCCACACACACCCACACCCACCCACACCGACACCCACATTCCACACTCACACCCACACCCACACCCACACTCCACACCCACACCCACACCCACACCCCACACCCACACCCACCCACA